CGGATGTAAAAAAGGTTAAAATTAAAAAAAATTTAGGCCTCCCCCCCACATACAATTTCTGGCTCTGCCACTGAATGGAAGACATAACAAGTGGAAGGTAATCATGGGAGATAGGCACAATAAGGAAAGCAAATTGTAACAGACATAAGCAGGAGTTCGGGGCATTAATGATGCTTTATGTTGTGTGCTTCTGAATAGGAAGCGTGTTGGGAGGTTCTTGTGTACCTGTGACTGCAAGAGGAGAAATTTGGGAGGCTCTCAAGAACGTGCAATGGTTAGGGCTACTATGACATGGAAGTCAAAGGGATAAAGACAATGAATATGGTGTTATAGTAGTGTGAGGCATTCACATGTAGGATTTACATAGAGTTCTGGATTTGAAGACTTGCATTGGAAATGGGAGAGAGCATGTCAGTGAGAGTGGGAATCAGCATAGCCGAATGCAGGTGGGATCCAAGCAATAAAGTTGAAGTCTTAAGGAAGAGCATGATATAGAGATATGTAAGCGTTGGGTTTCATAAGCAGAAAAGGGGTAGGAGATAACAGTGAGGGAGAACAATAGATAAATTGCCCTTCCTACAATAGATAAATTGCCCTTCCTACCTGCACTCATGTGATTCATAAACAGGTCATTGAAGCAAAAACTATTTGAGAATCCACGATAGAGGGAGATACGGAAATTTGTAATAAAGGGGAGATGCATATGTTTTTGGTTGTGTGATGATAGGGATGCTGAAGAGATCGTGTGTACGACATGTGGGGGAAATTATGTAGTCATGCAATCACATGAGTGCAGGTCTTTTTTTTTTACAGTATATAAATTGCCCTCTGACAAATATGGTGAACTTTAAACAAGAGTGCATGAGTTAAATATTAGAAAATTTGATTTGAACTCAAGATTTGTAAGAGCTCAAAATCAACTTTTAGATTTTTTAAAACAATGCATATTTCAACTCAAGTACTAAAGGTAATTGAATTAGGGGTGTAAACAAGTCGAGTCGAGACGAGTATCTGCCTAATCGAACTAAGCTTATTTAGTTCTAACCAAGCTCAAGCTCAATCTCGTTTACTAAGCTCGAGCTCGACACCATAAAAAATTTATAGGCTCAATTGCTCAAGTTCATATGGAAAACTTGAGCTTGACTTGATTGTTGAACTCGATTTTTTAGTTTTAAATTAAAATTTTCAATTTTTTCTAATTTTTTTAATTGTAATATATAATTAATTTACAAATATTAAAATATATTATATAATGTTAATTTAAATTAAATTTAAATATATTTTAAGTTAATCGAGCGGCTCAACGAGTTTAAAAATATTGAAATATATTATATAATATTAATTTAAATTAATTTTAAATACATTTTAAATTAATCGAGCAGCTCAACAAGCTTTCGAGCCGAGCCAGACTAAGCTCGAGCTCATTTAATATATGAGCTCGAATTCGTGGCTCAATAAGCTTGACTCGTGAGCTCATTAATGAGTCGAGCTCGAGCCGGCTCTGTTCACTTACACCCCTAAGTTGAATTGACTAAGAAGCTCGAGCCTTGGGCTTATGACCTAGGATGCTAGTTTAACCTTAGGGCATGCTGAAATGAGGAGATGACTTGGTTCTTAAACTTGTAAGTTAAAAATTCTCGCTAGTCTAGCTGTTAGGCTTGTTAATCTAGAACTTGATGTTGAAGCTCAATCTTTGGATTTGTTGAGCTTGAGAGTTTTAGGTGTTAATTCTGCTTCTAGAGCTTGTTAAAACAGCATAATAACTCAACCCTAAAGTTTGTGAGCTAAGAATTCTTGAAGTAGTCATATGCAAGTAGATCAAATTCGATATCAATAAACAAAAGAAATCTGAGCTTAAATTCTTCAAGCATAAGGAAGTCCAACGCCAAGGGTAACTGTAATATAATAGTGTCATTGATGGTGAACTACACAGTCAAAGAACACATACTACGTTTTTACTGGCATGAGAATTTTGAGATTGAATATTTGGCTAAACTTGATATGCCATTGGCTCTTTGTGAGATTTGGTAATACTTAAATTAATCATCCTAAACAAATTGTTATAGAAGATGGAAATGTAGATAGTTTTGAGCTTTAAACAATATATTATGTTTACAGCTTTTTATTTTTTTTCTCAATTAATATTTTGTAATTTTTTGAGAAATTTTGCCTTTTAACCCAAAATATGTTAGGTATTTGATAATGATATCCCCTCAACTTGAGGTGCACTATCAGCATGATCATCATTGGGGAGATTTGAGTAATTTATTTTTGCAACACGAGAATTTAATTTTGGTAATAAACTTACATGAAATGGATGCAATTTTTGCAAAAACTAGTGAACGACGCAAGAAGATTTGGAAGAAGACTGTCCCAAAATAATTTTTATTGAAAGAACCATGAAGAGAAAAGCAAGATACATTTGGATCTTCAAATGGAGAGGAAGATCCGACTTCGACTCTCCCAATCCCTACTTGCTTGCTAGAGCTCTCTCAACCTAGGCAAACTTAAAAAAAAAAAAAACAGCAAACAAGACATAAACTAATACCCTAGATAAACAACCTACTTAAAGCATACAATCCCCAAAAGAAAATCCCTAAACAGCCCTCCCTATTTGAAATTTCCCTACTAGCCACCCCCTGTTTCGCCTAGCGTAGACTCTGGCCGCTCCTGGACCGGCCCTTCTACGACCGGTCTAGGAGTGAGAGGTCTATCAATACCCACCCCAAAGACCCATTGTCCTCAAGATGGAAAGACAAAAACTGCTGCTTCACCCTCTCGTATGGCTCCCACATAACGTTATAGTCAAGTAGGTTCTTCCATTTTATTATCACTTCCTTGATCTCTCGCTCTCCCTGTCGCACCCCTTTCAGCTCCAGTGGTACCAACACTACCTCCAAATCCTCTGTCAGTGCCCCGAGTAACTCTGAACTAGATGCATGACCCTCAATAGCTCTCCGCAATTGTGACACACCATCGAATATATAGTAGTAGTAGGGGTAACCACAATCAATAAGCCGCTACTCCAATCCTCTCCAATATCTCATAAGGACCAAAATATCTCGGGGTCAGCTTCTCATTCCTCATATTAGCTACCATACCTTGTTTGTAGGGATGAATCTTTAAATATACCTTATCCTCTATCCCAAATTGGATGTCCTTCATGCACCCATCTATCTGCCTCTTCATGAACCGCTGAGCCCTCAATAAATACCTTTTAAATTCAACCAACACCCTATCCATCTCCTCCAAGTACTACTCTAGCGACGAGACTGGTGTGCTACTCTGCCCAAATAGCACCAAATGAAGTGGTTCCCTTCCGTACAACACTTTGAAATGAGTCATATGTAAAGCTGAATGATGTGAAATGTTGTAGCAGTACTCTACCCATGCCAGCCACTTGGCCAAAGCTGAGGTGTCTCTTAAGCAAAATATTGCAGGTACGTCTCAAGGCTCCTATTTACCATCCCCATATGCCCACCCGTATGTGGGTCGTAAGTGATGCTCCTCTTCAATATTGTCCCCTGTAGCCTGAACAACTCCCCCAAAAAATGACCAAGGAACACCTTATCCCAGTATAACACTATAGACTTCGATATCCCATGCAATCTGACCACCTCTCTCATGAATGTCGCTGCCATTGTCACTGCCTTGTACGAATGTTGTAGGAGAATAAAATGAGCATAATTGCTCAATCTATCCACCACTACCAAATCACTGTAAACCCCTCATATCTCAACAACCCTTCTATAAAATTCATGGCGACTTCCTCCCACACTTTGTCTGGAAGAGCTAGAGGTTCCATGGCTCTCGAGCAACTTTTTTATCATCTCCTCCATGATGACAAATTTCCCATCAATTTTCTCATGGGAGGCTAAAATTTGAGTTTGAAAATCTAAAATTTCATATTTCAATTGTTCGATCTCCTCTTTCAACACTTCTACCTTTTTTCTGCTATAAGTATCCGAATCTATGTTCTAATACCAATTTGATATGAAGTGGATGCAATTTTAGCAAAAACCAATGAATGACACAAGAAGAATGGGAAGAAGAACACCTAAAAATAATTTTTATTAAAAGGATTATGAAGAGAAATGCAAGATACAATTGTATCTTTAATTGGAGAGGAGGATCCAACTCTCCCAAATCCCTAGCCATCGGCTAGATCCCTCTTAACCTTGGAAAACTTAAAAAAAAAAATAGCAAAGAAGACAAACTAAAACCCTGGGTAAACAACCTACTTAAAGCATACAATCCCCCAAAGCAAATCCCTAGACAACAGTCCCTATTTAAAATTTCCCTCATAAGCCCCCTCTATTAAAAAATCTTCCTTGGGGCTACTTAAAGGGGGCAGGACCCCCACCCCCCATAAATTGAGGCAAAGACACGCTTGCTTTGAGTTCTACATGTAGATTATTGCATCATGAGTCTTGTCAACCTCACTATTTGGTAGCAAATAATCTACCTCATAAATTGAATTTCTGCTTGAGAGTTTGACAAAAACAAAATTTGGGACTTATGATCCTAACATATAGGCAAAATGACTTATTAGTGACAAAACTAATAATGTTTTGACAAGACTAATAATGATGATAAATGTGGAACTGTAACATAGATATGTCATGAACAGTATTGACTATTAGTAATGCTTAGGTTTGTGTGCTGAGAATTTAATGACATTTAAAACCTTAAAAAATTAAGAAAAAATTAGTTCCATTATGCATGCCTAAGAAAAGTTATTAGTTGTTCATGAGCTCCAAAAAAATAAAATATTTTTTTTAGAAAGATACATGCTAGGAGGTGGTTCACTGGAAGAGACTTATTAAGTGTCATAATGCAGGATTTTATGATCAATAATAAAGACTCGCATCAGATATTTAGCGAAATTCCATAATATATTTTCCTCTTAATTCATATCTGCATGTAAGCTAGCAAATCTAGTGATAGTAATCACCAATTCACCATAATGGTAAAGTCTGATGCGGAAAAAAATTCTGCACCTTCGTGAAGAATTTTTGAGCATGGCTTCTGATTTGGATAGCTGTTTTAGTACCAATATGCTCTGCAGTGAATAAATCGCAAACGAGATCAACTTATCAACAAGGCTCTGGCTTAGGAAGAACAAAAACAACTCTCATACAATTGCTGAATGGGATACTAAAGGATTGAACAATTACGTACACAATCTCACCTTCTATGCTTTGCCAAGCCCGACCATACAGCTTCAAAGCTTCCAGGAACCGGTTGTGCTCTTCCTCGGTCCACTTCTCCCGTTGCTTCGTGATCGTATAAGGCTTCCTCGTCTAAAATAAAATCCAACTTGTGAACCCTCGAAGAAAAATCATAAAACAATTGAAACAGAACATGTATCTATCAACCACACCCCTCTCACCTTCACGGCCAGATCTTCTCCGAACGAGTTCATCTCCATCACCAACACTGATGAAATCAACGAAATACCTAGCTAGTAATACCAAATCACTCCGCCTTCAAATCCTCCACAAGCAGGAATCTCCCCTCCATACCTCCGACCAGCTGCCGAAGAAAGTACCTCATGACAGCGAACAATCACTGCCCAAAAAGCCCCAAAATCCCTATATTAACCCTCGAAAAACAAAACAAAGAAGAGCTAGTACCGAATCATACTCACATAATCAACTCCTGCCAATCGCCATGACGATCTTCCCCTGGATCGAAGCAACGCCGAATCAACAAGCGGATATCGCATACGAAAATCCTAATCATGACCTCAATCCAACCGTATCAGGATCCTCCGCTCCCCATCTTCCTTCAAGAATTGCCTCTCTCTCTCTCTCTCCCTCTCGAACTTTCCAGGAAGAATGCTAGCCACTATATTTTCTTGTGGGTTTCAGCTCATCGACTGAAATTAAATACGCAAAAAAAATTTATTTTTTGAGGGGGAAGAACAGGAGTGGGGAATGAGCGCGAGAATTTGCGGCTGGAAACGTTCCAGGGTCGCGTGATGAACCACCACGTGGCAGAAATATAGTGGAGAGTTTACTTCTAGGTGCGCTTTTGCATGCGTGTCTTGGCTAGGTGGCGAGCCCTCTACCACAAACGGTTAGGGAGTCTGGTCTATTGCTATTTTCGTCATTGAAATTAAACAAGTGATAGAACTCCCTTACAAACATAACACATCGATTATTTATAGGAAAACATAAAGTAGGCAACTGACCTGTAGCGCTTAAAAGGTCAGTGTCGTTGTTGGCTAAAGAAAAATGACATGAATGCATGAATCCCGCTTTACAGCTATAAGATTCAATTTCCCTTAAGTCAGATTGAAATTAACCAAATTTCTCCTGAGGGTAGTGTCGACCGTAGTGTCAAGGGAATCTAATTAGCAGCCATGGGTTGCCTTATCTCGGGGATCTCGAGTAGACTGAATTGGTGAGATTTGAGTTTTAGTTTTTAATTTGATTATGTGTTTTGGGGTTTATATCTATTAGAATATCTAGAGATTTATTTAGTTTGAGATTTATGACTTTCTTTAGAAATAACCCAAGAGTTTGGATTAGAACTGGACTTATAACTTCTTTAGGAAGTAGCCCATGGATTTAGATTGAGGTTGAGGTTTATGGCTTTCATAGAAAGTAACTCAGGTAGTTGATTTAGGATGGGGTTACTGTTCTATTTATGAGTTGCCCAAAGATGGGTCTTAAAACCTAAATCTACTACAAGGCTGCTCGGGGATTTTGTTTGAATTTGAGGTATGTCTTATTATTTTCCTTAGGAAATTACCTGAAAGTTGGTCTTACAACTTAATCCTTTAGACTAAGATGTCCATAGGTTTAAATTGAATTTGAATTAAATCTTAAGACTTACCTTATAAAGTTGTCTAGTTATTTGTAGGATTTTTAGAGTCAATATACTTCATTTTAAAAAGTTTCCATAACACATGAGACTTATGACTTCACTTAGAAGTAGTCCACTTGTGGGTTTTACAACCTAACCCTATAGGCTAGGATGCCCGACTGAGGGGTCTAGTATTGTATTATCACTTAAACATTTTCCTCAGAAGTCGGACTTATGACTTCTATTAGAAGCGGCCAGTGCTTTAATTGGGGGTTAGGGGTTATATTTTTGAATTTGGAGAGGGGTGTTGTTTGTGAATTTGAAGAGTTGGATAGTTGTTGTTTGACACTATTGAGGTCAACAATATTATTGTTTCTCCTCAAACATCTAAGTATAAGTTGGTCTATTTACTTAAAAGCTATAGTGAGGATTTTGTTAATAGTTTGAGCTTTTTAATTAAAACGTTCCATTTTATGCTCTGTAGAGAAATGGTAGTCTAATATATTGACAAGCTATTAAACGAGAATTTTATATTCATTCAAAGCATTCAGCTTTACAAGCAACATGATTTCCATATGATAGTTTCAAAGATTTGTACTCTTGGCTTCTCGGATATGTCAAAGTGACATTAATTTTGTATAATAAACAAAAATTGCGATACTTCTTGCACCAACCTTGTCTACAAATGCGATAACTGCGTGTCTATATATCTTGTTCATTCGCACATGTAAGATCATGTGTTATTTGTGAGATATTGTTATTATTCATTTTAATTAATTATTTCTAATTAATTAATTTTGATTAACCAATTAAACTTGATTAACTAACTTTCAATTAATCAATTGAGCTTAATTAATTTTCTGTTAATCAATTAACATTTGTAATTATTTTAATTAATCGGTTTTAATTAATTATTTCAGCTTGATTTCAAATTAACAATTTAATTTGAATTTTGATTTTTTTTAATTCAATTAAAATTTCTAGAATTTTAATTGGTCAATTGATCAATTTAAACTCAATTCAATTACTCTCCAAATTTCAAAAATTTTAATAAACTCGTGGAGAAATTTCGGCAGCCTCCCGGCATCCCCTCCCCACCGAGGGAGAAATCGGGACGACGTTTGCCGATATTTACTTCCCGGTCGGACCAAAGGTCGATGACACGAGGCCTTGAATTTAAAATCATCTTGTTCGGACCTAAGGTCGACGACACGAGGTCTTTAATTTAAATTCTTCCCGACTGGAGTTAAAATCGATGTACGAGGTCTTGTATTTTAAAACAATATCGGCCGGACCTAAAGTCAGCGACGCGAGGTCTTGAATTTACCTGTGGAGGGGAATTGATTTTACGATTCGAAGTGGGCTCGTGCTCGTATGAAAGGCATTATAAATCCTTTATCTATTTTACAAATTTCATTTATGGTCTCTAGTGAAAATTATTCTCGCTGAAAAATTAAAGTTATATTACTCAGAATTTCCTTAAGAAACTGATTCTAATCTTTGTAACTTAACTCGCATATGCAAACTTGGTTTAAATCATTATCCTTCCAACTTTAAGGAAAGTTGATAGCTTCACTCATTTGTCAACTATATGCTCCAGATTAAGCTATCTACAACATATATAATCCTTCCAATCAGGTGTCGCAACTTCTTTAGATTTTTTTTTTTTAAACAGTAAGAAATAGTTTGCCAGCAATATTGTTGTGCCGCCCGTCTTATCATTGTGCTAACAAGACTTCTTCTTATGTATCTAATTTACGTTGGCTCTGATCATTTTCATATTTATACTATATATCTGCCCTCATCCACTCCTTGGTGGATTTCGTTGTTGTTGCTTATGCCTTAATTGTTTTAGTCAACAGTCAGTTGCGCCAAAAAATGAACTAACACTGTTGCGGTATTGTTTTGGCTTTGCCACGATGCTTGTTTGACGTGGATCGATTACTTAGTGTAGGTCGTGTCGTTTCACTGACAAGTCATGTCCTTGGGCAGTTACAACTGCTGGTATCTTTTGAAAGCTGTGATGTCAGAATGACAATTTGGGCGTCGAGGCGTGATATATTGTGATGTTGCAATGCTTGAAGAAAGTAAGCTGGGGGTTGTGAAGCTTACTTTTTTGTCGCCGCGGGACTGTTCAACAGAGAAGTTAGCGCCGCAATGTCAATTTTGTGACGCTCCGGCAATGCCTTTAATGGCGTTGTGGCGTTGTTTGGTCCGACGCCGCAGTGTTGGATGATACTTATAATTTTGTGTCTTTTTATATATTTTTCCTGCACAAAATAACAAAACAACATATTATGATTGTGCGAAGATTGATTCACATCTAACCTTATGCTTTGGTCAAAATATGAGTTGCACTTCACTTAGGTCATTATGTTATGTTAACAAAATAACTAAATAAGATTTGAAAGACCCAAATAGCCATTAGTTTTTTTTTTTCCCTTCATCTCCCATTTTTCTCCTTCTAAAATAGAATTTTTCCTTCAACCTCTTTTGTTCTTAGGGACAACTATCTCCAATGATTTCACCTTCTCAAATAAATTATTATAATCAACAATTACTTCTAGTAATACTAGAATATGTTGGGAAAAAAATCTCTCCCACTATTTCCTCCTATCATATTCTTCATCCTCTTCTCCACCATTGGTGGAGTGAGCAACTTCACCTAATTAGAAATGATTTGAAACCATGAAAAATGTACATTGGAAATGTATGATCTCTCCCAATGAATGCATCTCTTCTATTCTTCATCTTTTTCGTATATATTAACAAAGTTGATATATCATCGAAAATTGACTTGATCGGGTACGAATCTTGAGGCATATATCTAAGTTGGAAAGTTCCAAAAATAAATATGGGACCATTTAAATTATGATTTCAACAAACATATAGTCAAAATTGAACATCTCAAGGAGATAAATCCAACGACTCTGAAATCAGTTCAATCTGAGACAAATGGGTCCAAATCAAAGAGCTGAAGCATATTTGAAAGGTTCAAAGCATTAATTGGATGATCAAATGATTTCTAAATATGACATGCTTATAGTCGAATTGAGTGGCTCGACAAGACGAATCTAACGAGACCAAGATTTCTTAATTCTGACATCATTAAGGCACGCAAATGCCTGAAAAATTCTCTATGATTGAGGGAATTAGTAATGGTTGTTCGATGGAGCACTCTGAACCTGCCCTGAATTTTCTTTATATTTACGAGGTGTGCCACTTACAAAAATATATAAATAATAAATAGACATACACTTTTTACATCAAGGGGACCTTTGACTATATATTAGAGAGAACTCTGAGGTTTCAGGGATCTAAAGCTCCACCCAAGTCCATCGCAAACGAACTCTTGTCGGTAGATTGAACCACCGCCCAATTGCCCGACCATTTATCGGACGTCCTCTGATCTCCACCAAACTTCCACAGACCACCATTGGAACTCCACCATTCTCCGTCGAACTTCCGCGGATCACCATCGGACCCCCGCAAGGGCCCGACCGCTGCTAGACCACTATACGATCGTCGATCTTCACTGGACTACTGCTTGACCATCGTCGAATTGCCAACCACCGTTGGACCACCACCAACCCATCGACCACCGCTGGACCTCTGCCCGTCCGCTGAACTCCGTCGGACTTTTACCAGACCATCACCCAACTGTTGACCGTCATTGAACTTCCACCTGGCAGACGTCAGACCTCTGTCCGGCCGCCAACTGCCACCGAGCTTCCGTCTAAATGCCGTCGGACTTTTGCCAAACTCTCAAACTATTGTAATTGCACCGCCTCTAAGTTAAGGGAAGTGTCAACTTTTATAATTAACTCAAATTTAATTGAATCTTTTAACATAGAGGAGACCCTTGATTTTTCTATTTTCAGATTTTTCACATTAAAAAATTTTCTGATATTTTTTCACTCTCTCTTTTGCTATCTGTTAATGTTATGAATATTCGTGTATAGTTAGACCGAAAAATTCACTAAAAGGAATCAAAGTACGCATTGTATTGCACAAACAATCCTTAAAAAATAAAAGGGAAATTTACATATGGTTAGCTTTATGAAGAACCCTTTGTAACCTTCTATGTCCAAGTCTGGCCAAGAGAGCGGAGCTGCGGATCCAAACCCTAGTTCTCAGATCTCGATGCCCAATCTCTCTCGAGGCCCGCATTTTCCACTATTCGAAGGATTTGCCCACCTATTAGTCGATTCTGTGGGAAACTTTCGCAGCGAAGGTTCTTTGCGTTGCGGGATTCTCTGAGGAGGAAGATCAGGAATAGGAAAAGCAAAGCTCTAACGAGTTGACGATGGGGAGAGTGGACGGCGTGCTTCTGCTTATCCTGCTTGGAGCTTGTGCTTTGAGAGCCGGAGCTGATGGATCGGATCACAGATATAAGGAAGGGGATCACGTTCCATTATATGCGAACAAAGTCGGCCCTCTTCACAATCCAAGGTAAAAGTATGAACTGTTTGTTTCGATCAGTTTTTTTCATCTGCCTCCTATGCGGTACTTGGTTTTGTATAAGGGATCTTCTTCCAGGTTCCTTTTTTATGTTGTCGTTTGACCGTTGGGGAGATTTTACAGATTTTGCATATCAATGTCTGGTATAATTGGTTCACATTTGACCTAATAAATATTTGAGATGTCGATTCTGTGATTAGATAATACATTTCTGTTAATGAATGGATGTTTGAACCTAGTGGCTGTTTGATTGCAAGATTTAGCCATGATTTAGGCCAGATTTTGCCAAATAGTTTTCTGGCTCATAGAAA